TCAAACCCGTCTTTCTTATGGTGCTTTTTGTTGCACAATACATGTCTAAAGAAGAGTTTACTAAATTTTCATAGAAAAAGATATCAACTTTACACATATAATATATTATATTCATATGATATTTTATATTTTATAGATAAGTAAAGATTTTACTACCAAAGCGAAAAGATAACTTCAGCTTATCGATTATATCTTTATTGCTGACTGTTCTCAAGTAGTTCATGTTGCAAAAGTTTCGGTAATCCTCCGAAACTTTTCACAAGCGTCATTTCTTAAATGCAAAATTGAAGAAATTCTGTGTAACACGTTTCGTCTCCAAGAAGTACTTCATCAGACAAAAGTAATGTTTTCTTGATAAAATTATATATAAGTTTGAAAAGATGGGGGGGGGATATAAAAACTCCAATGCCGTTTATAATCCTGCATCGAGAGGAAACACCGAAAATATTTGAAATTTGAACATTTTTTTCTCTCATTCATGTAGTCTAACCGATTTCATTCAATTTCCTTATGTTTTTGTTTTTCGTTTTATCGCCTTTAATATTAAGTCTTACTTTTATTAAAAACTATCTTAATATACACATATATAATTCCATCAACAAAAACATTACTTTAGTCCGACGAAGTCTTTCTAGAAGAGGAGTAGGAAAGCCAGGTCTAGTGTTCAAGATTAATACTCTACAAACGTACATATAAGTTTTAGATCAAAATAAAATTCTTTTCGTTTTCATTCAAAATACTCAGATTTTAGGAATACGTTTTCACAACATCGCCCACGTGACGACGACGTGATCATATTTAAACGGAATGCTGATCTTATAAAAGATTTCAGTTATCTGTTTGGATTGGTATTGCTTTTATGTCCATCGTCTTTTTTCATATAGGATTTTGTTTTCAGTATATTTTTCAGTATATTTATCCATATATTTGTCGGATCTATATTTATATATATATATATATATATATATATATATATATATATATATATATATATATATATATATATATTTAATCAATTTGCCGGAAGCAGGGCGATAATGTCACTACGAGCTACAGGGGTGTGAAAGTGGAGGAGACTTTAAAAGGAAGCTGAAAGAGAAAGGAAGCGATAAACCTCTTGTCCTTTTCAAAAGAGAGGAGGAGAGTGAACCGGAAAATAGGCGGAACTATCTATTCCTATTTGATATACTTAAAAAGAAAAAAGGACGAATTATGATTTGGCTTTTCAGATATTATAGATAGCACGCTAAGGATTAAGGATTGTGAACTTCGTTATTTCTGATTCAGTGAGGCAGATACATGTGGTTGACATATATATATATATATATATATATATATATATATATATATATATATACATGCTCCTGAAAAAGTTATTTTGGGGAGGAAAAGTGAAATTGTAAACAGTGAATAATACCGCTGTTAATGCAAGACTCTTCGTTAAAAACGATTCGAGTTCTCCCATTTATTTATTTAAAAACAAATACCCTTAAATTCAACTTCATACATACCGTGCGCCAATGGCTTAGTAGTAGATTCTCCAACTGATACTAAATCAGTCGGTTTTCGATCCTGGCTTGAAACACCTGGATGTCTATAGACACTGATGAGCTGCCAAACAGTCTGTCTGCGGATAACGACACACATATATATATATATATATATATATATATATATATATATATATATATATATATAATGGGAAAGTGTATGACAAAGTATAAAAATGTTTTCGTATGATGCCGTTTTTTTTTCCCAAGTTGTCATACATTCCCACCCAATAAATACAAATTTATATATGGTCATGTTATATATATATATATATATATATATATATATATATGGATTCTCACATCAAGAATGTTTCTTTCTTGAATAATCTGTAAATGCTTCAAAGTGGTCAATTGCATGTGTGCACTGCAATCCAAACCCTCTCCATCCCAGCCACATGTAACACATGTCAGATGGTGCTACAATCACTTTTTTTTGCAGGCTTATTTTAAATAGAACTTTTCCATCTCCTAGCTGCATGTTGGATGTTGGCTCCTAAAAGAATCTCATCCTCGCCCTTTTGCCAAGCCTCTCCATCCTGGTCTGAATTCAAGAGTTTTCTTTCTTATAGTCTGTTTGTCAACTAACACTATAAGGCTTAGGCTTTCTTGCTATTTAACCCATAGCTGTGGAAGAAGAGAGGGATCCATAACGTTTGAAGTAATACAAATGTAGGATTACAATTTTTTTAAAACATCATTAATTTTTTTAGAAATTGCTTTCTTTACGTTTCGGATTCGAAACTGAGACATAGGCTTTCGGAAAAAATTAGAAGTATGCATTGCTTAATAGGTAAAAAGAACGTTTTTTGAGATGTGACATCCTCAGTGGTTGAGCTGCCTAAAGCAAGCCGGATCAGAAGGTTGTTTCTCCTACAAAGGAGGACGCAACTTTGAACCTAAAGCCCATTTATTTTACTAAGATTTCTCGAACGCGCCGGCCAGTAGACATAATATTTCAAACACGGATATCCACTAGAAATGATGTTTGAAATATTATTATTATTATTATTATTATTATTATTATTGTTATTACTTTATTTCCTTTGATTTCTGTTGTGTACACAATTCTTTCCGGGTCCCGCCCAGAGACCTGAAGTTAGAAATGGCATTTTCACTGACAAAAAAAAAAAAAAAACATATTTTAAATAGATAAAGCCCTTCGTAAGGTGTGGGCTATACTCATGAGAACAATTATTTTTGTATTTCTTTAAGGCATGGGCTTCCAGGAATCCCTTCAATTAGTCTACGGGAATCTTTTCCAACCAATCCTAGGGCTCCAACTACAACAGGGATTGTTGATGTTCCCATGTGCCACATTTTCGAGATTTCTATTTCAAGGTCCTTGTATTTTGACAACTTTATTATTATTATATATTGATTATTATTATTATTATTATTAAAATATAAGAAAAGAATATCGTTATTGAATATCAAATCAATAGCTACTCAACTCATTACGAAACATTCCATTGACATTCGATCACTATTGAATGTTTTTATATTAAT